CCACACTGTGGCCCCACTGGGTTGTCTGAAAGAGGTCACCCAGATATGACACTGCTGCTTGCATTTGCCTCCAAAGTGTCTAAATCCTCTACCTGCTGGCTCGTGGGATTCCCGAAGTCACCCTTGCAGGGGTGTCCAACCCATGGCCCGCGGCCTGCATGCAACTCAGGATGGCTATGAATGGGGCCCAACACGAAACTGTAAATTTACTTAGAACATTATATTTTTGTGATTATGTGCCACAAGGTATGTAATGTATGACCCAAGACAAGTCTTCTTCCAGGGTGGCCCAGAGATGCCAGAAGGCTGGACAGCCCTGGGTTTAATGTGTGTTGGGTGGGAAAAGAACACATGTCATGTATGCATCTCTGTAATGTGTGCTTACTGAGCAGACCACTCGTGCCAGAGACAGAGAACTGTCAGGCGCTGAGTGTGTGCTAGTGCCTGAGACAGAGGTAGATGTCCTGTTCTCAGGTAGGAGAGTGGGACAAGTGTCCCTCCATGAGGCAGGCACCCCTCTAAAAGTCACTTACTACTCAGAACCAACTGTGGGAAAGGTCTTCTTAATCTTATTTTCTGGGTGGGATGATGACTGGAACTCACAGAGGTTAAGTGACCTGAGTAAAGTCACTGGCTGGTAACAGGGACAGCCGGTGCCCAGATTTGAGCCTTCTCAGTCCAGGGTTCTTTCCAAATATGTGATCTCATGTCAACCCGATCAATGCAAGCTCTCTTTTTCAGTTTCCCACGTCCCATGGTTTGGCTTAGGAAGGTATCTGGTGTGACACACGATAGATCTTCAACATCTGAAACTAGTAACTGTAAGGATTTAATCCTTACGGAGGCTCAGAGAAGAGCAGGGGAAAGTTTTTTTTTAATATATTTTATTGATTATACCATTACAGTTGTTCTATTTCCAGCCTTCATTCCTCTCCACCCTGCACACCCCTCCCCCACCATTCCCCCCTTTAGTTTATGACCACATGTCACAAGTTCTTTAGATTCTATATTTCCCATACTATTCTTGCCCTCCCCCTATTTTCTACCTACCATCTGTGCTACTTATTCTCTGTGCCTTCTCCCCCCATTCCCCTCCTCCCACTCCCCTGTTGCTAACCCTCCATGAGATCTTCATTTCTATGGTTCTGCTCCTGATCTAGCTGTCCTCTTATTTTGCTTTTGTTTTAGGTGTGGTTGTTAATAACTCTGAGTTTGCTGTCCTTTCACTGTTCACAGTTTTATCTTCTTTTTCTTAGATAAGTCTCTTTAATATTTCATATAATAAGGGCTTGGTGATGATGAACTCCTTGAATCTGATCTTATCTGAGGGGGGAAGTTTTTGTGAGCCCAGCAGTATGGGTGAGATGTCTGGACTGGAAGGAGGAGGAGAGAGGAGGTCAGAGAGGTGATCCAGGAATTCCCTAAGACTGGCTGTCACTCAGTAAGTCACCGGGTCAGTTTGAAATGAGTCAGCTGTGGCGTGGGGGGAAGCCAGCAGGCTGAAGAACGCCCCGGGGGAGAATATTCCTAATTACAATCCCTAGAATTTGCATGCCCCTCTACAGTTTGCAAAGCATGGGCAACCGCTTTCTTCATTTGCAGACTCTTGACTGCAAATACAGAAGGGACCGGGTCTGAGATGACCTTGTGTAGGAGTTTTTATAGGTTTAAAAAAAGTAAAATCCTTTGTCAAAATGAAATCACCCAGTAGTCTAGTGGATAAGATTGGTGTGAGTGGAACTTCAGTGCTTAGGGTGGGGACAGGAGTGGGGGAGGCACAGCCCACGTGTAAGGCTTTACTTTGACCTCTTTGTCTATTTCGGGGGGGTCTCCAAGGAACCTCCAAGTTCCATGAAACACAGTTAGACAAATATTATTTCTAGAAAATATCCATCCTGCTTCACGCCCCTCCTCCAAAAAAGGAAAGCTGAATGCCCTGGATGTAACATGCACAGGCCTCCCAGTCCAGGATTCCTTCCATGGAATTCACCAGAACTGGTTTCTCAGGTGGTTAACGCCTGAGGATCTATCTACCTGGGAGCCAGTTTGCCCTCCACTTGTTTTGGGAAAGCTTCGTCACAGACAGCAGCAAGGTCAACCCTCTGACTCCTGACAGCATTTTTCAAAGTGTCTGCTTTTCGGGTGGGGCTCAGAGGCACTGCCTTCATTTTTCAGACAGGCCGCCCCTTGAATGACAGAATGCCAGCGGAGTGGGTGGGAAGCAGGTTCAGTGATTTTGTTTTAAGCCCCAAATGCTCTCCCTGAAAGTGTAAGAAGAGCAGCCTATTGGGATGCAGGCTCTCCCCAGTTAGAAAACTTACATTAGTATTGGCCGAATGTGTGTTACCCTCCAGCATTCACATGTCGAAATCCTTACCTCCCAGGGTGATGGTTTTAGGAGGTGGGGCCTTGAGGAGGTGGTGAGGATGCAGCCCTTTAAGAATGGGATCAGCGCCTTTTTAAGAAGAGACTCACTGAAGATCTTGCTCCCCCCTCTATTCCTCCTCCCATCCTGTCAGGTTAGGAGAAGACTGGCACCTGCAAACCAGGAAGAGTGTTCTCAGCAGAATCCAATCATGTTGGCACCCTGGTCTCAAACTCCCCAGCCTCCTACCTGTGAGAAATAATTCCTGCTGTTCAAGTCACCAGTTTATGTATTCTGTTCTTTAGCCCAAACTGATTAAGATAGTGGTGATGGCTAAACAAGGTGCTGACTGTACTAAATGCTACTGAATGGCTAAAATGATAAATGTTATGTTATGTGTATTGCAGCACCAACATAACAACAACAATATAATAATAAAACTTACATTGGTTCCCTATTTCCTAGGGATCAAGTTCAAACTTGCTGGTATAGTGTACAACCTGGCCTCTGCTTTCTTCTCTAGCCTCATGTCTCACTGTGTCCCTCAAACTCTTCATCTGATCAAGTGTTCAAACTCCTCCCTATTGCACGTTCATGTATCTGTGTTCACTCACAATTTTGCTCTTAGTAATAATAGCAAACACATATATAGTGCTTCTTATATGCACATATACATATCTATCTAGTGTTTAATATACGCAGAACTCTTGATTCATTTAATCCTCACTGATTCTATGAAAGAGACACTGTTACTAACCTCATTTTAGGCTGAGGAAATTGAGGCACAGAAAGGCTAAGTGACTTATTCAAGGTCACACAGCTTATAAGCAGCCAAGGCGAGGTGTGAATCCAGGCAGAGTGCATCCTGAATCCTTGCTATTGACCGCTATGGAGTACTGCCTGTAGATGCTTTGTCCCTGTGGATTCCTCTGAAGAATTCCTTCCCCTCCTTCAGGACCTGGTTCCAATATCAGTTCCACTGTGAAGAGTGCCTTGATGTTCCCCAGGAAAAGGCGCAATTCTTTTTTCTAGGATCGATAGCACTCTGTACACAAATATTGTATGGCAACAACCTGTCTGGGAGTCTAGTTCCCTACCAAAGTGTAAGGCTCCTGAAGACGGGGCAGGTCTTGTTTCTCCTGACATCTTTGAGCACTCACTACACGGTTGAATTAAAGATGGCTGAGTGGCCCTGGCCCAGTGGCTCCATAGGTTGGAGCATTGTCCTGTACAGCAAAATGTCGTGGGTTCCACCCCTGATCAGGGCACATATGGAGGCAACCAATCAGATGTTTGTCTCTAAGACCAATAAGCATATCCCCAGGTGGAGATTAAAAAAAAAAAGAAAAAGAAATGACTGAGTATATTTTCTGTCCATTTTCCAACTTCTTTCAATAAATAACAAAATCAAAAGGGAATTACATTCCTTCAGAAATTCTGCCACGGCTCCTTCAGGGTCTGACCGCAGTCACTGGTAACCACAATCATTTTCTGTGCATCTCACCAGGCAAGAAGTCTGTTCAGATTGACTTTCAGTGGTCCACATTAACAACAAATACTCCTGTTAATTTTCAAATATTAAATCACAGTCTGTTGGTGGTAGGTATGAAATGATACTGCAAACATGATTTTTCAAATTCAAAACGCCTCTCTAAAGAATATGACAATCTCCTTCCTTTTCGAGATGTACTGGGTGGGCTAGATGGGGGAAATGGGTTAACATTTGCACAAATAGGTATATAAATGGGAGCAAGAAAGGATGGACGGAAGTGTGGGTGGACGAGAGGATGGATACAATGATGAGTGGGTAAGGGATGATGGATGAACGATGGATGGATACACTGATGAGCAGGTATGTAGGTGGATGGATGGAGAAGAGGATAGTGAATAGATAAATGTGGGCTTACGAAGAAATGTGGGAAAATGTGTGCAGAGGTGAATGGGAAGTTGCATAGGAAGGTGGCTGGGTAGATGAAAGGATGGGCGGTTGAATAAATGGGTGGAGGGATGTAAAGAAAGATGGGTAAATGGGTGAATGTGTGGTTGGGAGCATGTTTGGGAGGGTGGATGAGCCTGCGGGAGAATGGACTGGGTGAGGTTTCAGAACTCAGTCATCCTCTTTCTCGAGGCCGCCCTTCCAGCCGGCACCCGCTGCCTGGCACCCCGCTGCCTTCCCGGCGCACGCCCAGGAAATGGCGATTTACATTCTCCTAAGAGAACCCTGTGGAAGCGCAGGGGCCGTTCAGAGGAGGGCCAGTACGTCTTTAAACCTCTGCGGCTGCTTAGTCACAGCCCCCTCGCTTGGGTGTGTCCTCGCTTGCTCCCTCCCTCCCTCCCTCTTAGTCAGCTCTTGAATAAAAACTGCAACTGACTTCCGAGGCGCTCTCATTGCCCAGCGGGACCCCAGCCTCTGCTCCGACACGTTCGGCAGCCCTCCTCGCCCTCTCCTCCAGCCCCGTGCTCCGGGCCCCTCCAGCTCACTCCCTTGCTCTCTCTGTCCATTCCGACACCATGGACAAGATCGGGTGGCGCGCAGCCTGGGGACTCTGCCTCTTGCAGCTGAGCCTGGCGCAGATCGGTGAGTGCCCTCTGGGGCAGCGGGAGGGAGTGGCAGCGGGGTCGGGACAGATCCGCCATCCACGCTGGCTGGGTTGGTCCTGTGGACTGGAACCAAGCGGAGGGCGTGCTCCGTGCGGTGGGTTAAGGAAGACTAAGGTTTGCGCTCAACTGTCGGAGAGTTTGTTGCTGGAAATACCGTTTTATTGAAAGGAAGAGAAAGAGAGAAGGAAATTTGCCGGCAGGCTGCGGACGCGCCGTTTGGGTGAGGTGACCAGAAGCCGAGGCGGAAAGTAACTGTACTCCTGGATGCCCCGTAGCTGGTGTCCGGACCAACAGGCTCCTGTCCCAAAGGTGCTTGAAGCCTGGCTGTGGTTGAGGCAGGGCAGGGGCCGGGCAGGGCCAGGGGCTGTTAGCAAAGTGGCCATAGAGGTGGGCACAGTTGTGTTTATGGTAGCTGGTGGCAGTGAGCTTTCCAGGAAGGGGTCCTGGCTTCCTGGAGCTGCCCACTGAGCCTGGGTTTCAAAGATCCTATAGTTGGCTCAGGTCACTGACTATTTTAGCGCTAGTGGGAACTTGAACCAACTCTGTGGGGGAGGTTCTGGGTCTCCACGAGGTCTTAGCCTGGGTGTGTGGGGTGGGGAGAGGGGGCGGGGGGGGGGCAGGGAGTGTGAGCCCAAAAGGCAATGAGTGGGCCAGCTGCTCAGGCCTCATAAACTCCTGTTTCTGCCAATCAGTTAGGGGAAATCCAGACAGTAACGTGGCTACTATTTCCTGCCTGGAATCCTTGAAGGAGATGCAGGAGCCTGGGCACCAGGGTTGCACCAGGGGCCTTGGAGCTGGCGATGCTGCCAGGATTCCATCGCAACAGGGTCTGTGCCCTTCCTGTCTGTGGAGGGGGTGGCTGTGTGTGAGGTATTCTGTTGTGGCTGAATTCCAAGTATTCCCTTTCTTTGTCTATATATGTACAGATAATTACATGGCTGATTTGCTTATCACTAGCAAAATTAATTTTTCTTTTAAGAAGTGCCAGCTGGGTCATTAAGACAGCTCAGCCTATGGTTAGTTCTGCTCAGCAAGTATTTATTAAACCCGGCTCTGGGGGCACCGGGAAAGTCAAAGACACCATCCTTCCTGGGTACTTTAGAAGAGGATAAGTGGGGGATGTTTGATTTAGATTCCTGAAATAGAAATAGAAATAATAATAATAATAATAATAATAATAATAATAAAAAATAGGAACGACGGCACTAGCAAGCATTTATTTTTCACATTTGCTGTGCCGGGTGCTGTGTGGAATTCTTTGCGTCTGTTACAGTGTCACTTTGCCCGCATGCTGGCCCCCTGAGAAGTGTTCTGGCATTAGTCCCATTTTACTGCAGGGAAACAAACCGAGGCTCAGAGAAGTTAAATGACTTACCTGTGTTTGCACAGCCAGAGGATTGGCGCCCGTGGAAACCCAGGCCCACTAGTCTCTTCTCAGTCAGAATATGCTAGGCTGCGTGAATGGCAGGGACAAAATTGACAAGGATTTCGGTGAAGGGGGGTGTGGTGGGCCAAAGGCCTTAGTAGAGGCTGAGACTGGAGATCCGAAGAGCCCTTGAAAGGAGGAGACGCTTGGAATGGGAGAGAAGAGGGAAACTTGAGTGCAGCAAGAGCCCTGGGGGCTGGCTTTAGAGAAGGGAGGCCTCTGGGGAAGTTAATTTGCATGTTACCTTCTGGTAACTTCTGGTTTGCCGCTGAGAATTCTGACTCACGACCCCTGCCAACCTGTCTGCCGTATTCTTTTTAAAGGACGCCATCACCAAATATGTGGCGTTGTCCTGACCTGTGAGACTTTCCCGGGGAGCAGCGGGCTCACTCCCGCCCCATGTTCCTGCAGTCCCTTTAGGCAGCGTCATTTGGAGGAAGCACAAAAAAGTGCCAGTAGCAGTAACTGCCTGGACTCTGGCTTGGAAAGTTGTTTGGAAGGAATTAAGACTTGGAAAGGAGAGAGACATGATTTACAAGTGGGCTTGGGCTGGGCGGGCAGATAGCAAAAGGACAAAGAGGGGCAGAAGGAAAGGAACTGCTATTGGCTTATTCTGGGAGTGGGTGGGCTCCAGAAGAGAAGAGGAAACTTTGGAAAGGGGCAGGCAAGGCTTTGGGGAAGAAGACGGTTCCAATCTCCCTATCAGAAAGCAAAAAGTAGAGAAATGGCTAAAAGTGGTTAAACAATACAGAAACTCTGAGCCGGCAAACAGATACCTCGAACTAGTTGTCATACGTGGAAGAAGGAGAGTGGCCCTGGGTGAAGGGCAGGTGGGATGAGCTTTCCCCCCCACATCTATCTCCTCCTCTTGTCTACTGTGGGCCAGAGGTCTTGCTAGGGAATTGCGCCCCTAGTGTTGAGAAAGAGGTGTGCACCTGAGAGCTCTGGGCCTTGGGGCTGGCATGTGCTCTCTGCGCACTCTGAGCATTAAAGACCCCTATTGGGCATAAGAGCTTTGGCTCTATTTTCCCAGGTGAAGGAGCAAGTAAGTAATGGTCTATCACAGCTTGAAGTTCACATCAATTAATTGAGTTATTCCCCAGACTTACATTGGACATCTACTTCCTGCAAAGGTAGGGCGCCAGGTAGGCAGGCATATTTGAGGCTGGCAGCCAGTAGGAAAAGTTTCCGTTTTCTTTCAAATTGCGCCATGGAGAAGGGAATGCTGGGCAGCATGGAATTCTTTGTTTATGACAGCTCTTTTCTATTCATTCAAGAAATATTTCTTGACTCATTGTCGCAGACTCAGAGACGGGACTGCCGAGGATCATTCAGAAAAACCCCTTCTTTTTCCCTGGAGAAGGAAACAGACCCTGGATGAGAGGCGTGACTTCCCCGCTGTCTGACAGAATGTTAGAGAAGGACACTCTCCATACTCGTGGTCTCTGCAATACCGCTGTCACCAGTGGCCGTGATCCCCGCCTCTGCCCCCTGCGATGGGTGGGCAGGGTGTGGTCTACTGGGGTTTCAAGCCTTAAATACCATCTTAAACACTCATCACAGTTTTTTATTTTGCTCCAAAATATACCCATTTTGAGTTTAATCTAAAATAATGAGATATCTATTTCTTACCATAAAGCACAAATGATGCTCAGTGAAGAGTTTCTGTACTGTCCTGGGGCTTCCAGGGCCTTTCGGGCCATTGCTGTGTCCCTTGGGGCGAGGAGTGCACCTCAGTTTTAAATGCCTGACACTCAGCTATTGCACCATAGGCTCCTGGGCCAAGTAGTGTCCCAGGTGCGCAGGAAACAGCATTTACGAGCACCAACTTTATGCTAGGCATTCACTGGGGGTGTTTGCACAGGTCGTCTTACAGATGCCTCACAACAGCACTCTCTTAACTCTATTTTCTAGGCAAAGAAATTGAGGCTCAGGGAGATGGCATGACTGTCCCAAGGACAGACAGCTAGTAAGTGGTGGAGTTGGGGGTCCCCTGTTGTCTAACATCCCCCATGTTCTACTCCCAAGCCTGTGCTGCTTTGATTCATTACTTTGCCTCTGGCGGACTTTGTAAATTGGTGTGGTCTCCCACCCTTCCTTCTATCCCTGTGGCCAGCTAACATGCTGCTCGTCTGAGTGCCTTCCCTCGCCCCCAGCAGGCTGTGAGGCTCTTCTTGCCCTAGCCTGGGCCTCCTCAGGTTTGGCCACAGCTGTCGAGAAATGCTAACCTAATTATTTATCACTAAAATAAGTCCATAACATTATCAGAGTACAGCTGCCCTTCTAGACAAGCTCTCATTTGCAGGCTTGGAAAAAAGGGAGAGGCTGCTTCTTGCCTCAGAGACAAGTTAGGACAATGCCCTCTGTGTGAAAACTGAGGACTAGGCCCTGCCCGCAGAGCCTCTCACGTGGACCCGCAAGCATTTACGTGCATTGACCCAGAGAGCCCCCTCAACACATGATCTTTGGAAGCCCACGGCATTTAGTGGGTTGTATGAGCCTCAGTAAAGGAACGTCTTAAGGACCCAGGATGACGCAGTTCTCTACAAAAGTCAAGGGTCTGGAACTGAAAGCTAGCGTGGAGCTCCAGGTACACGTGGCCGCCCAAGCGAGATGGCAGATCAGCCTGTGATATCAGGTGGTTCCAGGCTGGGGTTCCCTGACAGGGCAGAGGGGGTGGGAGGTAAGCTGGGCCTCCACAGCAGAAAGTCCTGCTGCTGGGGTTGGGGCTGGGGCTGGGACTGGGGCAGGGGCTGAGGCTGAGGCTGGGGCTGAGATAGGGGCTGAAGTTGTGTTTCCCCAGCACCGCTGGTTTAGCAGACTCCACCCAGAGCCTAAAAGGGAAGTGGCTCTCATAAAGAATGAGTGAAGCAGGTGCAGATGCTGTCAGACAAAGCGCAGTTTACAAAGGGGATCTTTTCCGCCTCAGAGAAATTCTGGGGTTTTGCACGGAAAGAAACTGATGACTCAATTTCCTTTGTGTGGCGACTTAAATGGGAAGCACACAAATGTTCTTCAGAATTAGCAGGGGAGGTTAGTGCTTCCTACCTTTCATTTAAACCCCACTTTTCACTTACTTAGGAAGTTGAAATTTGCCTTAAATGTGTACTCCCCATAAGCTGGCCAACAAGGGTGTGGGAAGCCAGCCCAATTTCTAGGACCAGGAAGGGGCGCTTTCTGAAGTTTCCGTCAATGGGTCTGGCCTGGCATGGACACAGTGGCTGTGCATTCCAGACCTTCTAGGGGCGTTGCGAGTTCAAATATGCAAATACTCTGCCAGGTGATACATACCGTGTACTTCGACTAAATATTTATATATTTTTCTACAAAGAAATGTATAGCTTCGTGTGATTAGAAGTCAAAAACTTTCTACGACTTTTTGCATGCATGAATTCACATCTCCACAACTCCTAATCAGTCTATCAATTTAATCAGCAGATTAAATTGATGCTTGGTTCTAAAAAATGTCTACTTTGGAGAGAAATAGTTAGTGTTGCTTCCTCTGTTCTCCATTTCTTGGTCACCCCAATATGCGAAGTACCAGGAAATGCCACATATCCAATTCCACGCTTGCTAGCAGTGGACAGACACCCGTGGGTGTGGCTGTAAGTCTGTGTGCATCTGAACACATGTAATGTGGGTATATGACTGGTCAACTGTTAAGCATTTATGAGGTGTCTTCTGTGGGTCCCACACTGTGTTGACTACTCTGGTGATCTAAATGTATGGGATGTAGGCCTTGCATTCAAGGCCTTTATGATTCTACGTGTATGCCGTAGCGCAGTTGAGTGACAGTGTGGAGGGTAAGGAGAGTAAGAATGCTAAGCAGAGGCACAGCCAGGAGAACGGCAAGAATCCATGATGGAGATGGGGGGAAATACAG